CCACCATCTTTACCTAAACTTCAGGCCAAAAGTTCATTTCCACTTCCGGTAATTAAACTAATAACAACAATGAACGAATGTTTGTGTTCACACTCAGCGTCATGAACAAAGTTTCGCTAAACTTCACTTTAAAAAAGTTGCTTTTTGATTTTACAACTATTGCACAAATTTCGACAATTAGGTGCTAACATTTTTGAAATACTATTATAAAGGAGCAGTTACGTTTTTGGACTAGTTTATTTTATGCTCCCATCAGAACAGGAAATTGTGTAGATCGTTCGCCGATCGTTATGCAACACATTATGTACCTTGTCCCATTATTACTCTTGTTTCAGAGGTTCCAAATCCCTGCAAGCCAAATCCATGTAAAAATGGTGGACAATGCAACGTATTGGGTAACATTTACACCTGTAAATGCAAGCCTGCGTTTGGTGGTAACAATTGCGAACATTCTCAAAGTAAGTCGAAACCAAAAGCATTTATATGCAATTTCATTCTAATTTAAAAGTCACCAATGATTTCTCTTGTTTAAATGATTTTTTCAAATTTGTTTACGGAAAATTGAATTTAAGGGGCACTCCTTATACCTTGTAGTACATTCTAGTCAATTTTGTTTTTTCTTTATAAATTATTTCAGCTATAATGACTGTATGATATTGTTGAAAAGATAAATGCACTGCGGAATACCGAGTGTGGTGTGTTCGTTTACATTTGACAAATCATTTCACAACCGACTCTGCATTTTCAAACATGTTAAGATGCTGGGTGAAAATAAAAGCAGTCAGTCAATATAGTGATTTTCAAGCCAGCCTCCGGCATCGTGGTTTTTAAAGACAGGTTTTAAGAAGATTTTCATGATCAAAGGAACATTTCTAAATTAACTCTGCAATTTCAATGCAGCACCCGGGAGGACATAGTAAAAAATGCGAAATCAGTTATTTAAATAATTTTCAATCGTAAACGATCACGTTAATCACTCTTCTCTGCCATTTCCACTATACCTACTTGTTTTACCATTTGATCTTTTTTCTGTTACTAAGCAACATGCTCTGCGTCTGGTGATCCTCATTACACCTCGTTTGATGGCAAAAGATTTGATTTCATGGGAGATTGTGAATACGAGTTTGCAAAAGACTGTAGTAAAAACAAACTTTTTACTGTCCTTACCAAAAATGTGCGTTGTGGACGGCGCGTTACCTGTACAGCGGCTGTTAAGATTATTATAGCTGGATACTTCATTCAGCTGACACGTGAGCGTGGAACAGTAGTTGTAAACGGAATTAAGCTGACGAAATTCCCAATAATCCGTCCAGGTATGAATTTATACGCATTTGTCTTTATTGTTTTAAAAAATTCTTAATACTAAATATATCATAGCTCATTACATAACTTTATATTCGAGACAGAAAGTAACCTCTCTTTCTATCTAACATTAACGGATCGGTTTTAGAAGTGAATAAAAACCATTGGTTTTTTAACTTTAAAGTGGAATATCTTTTGTTTAAGGATTCAAAATCACCAATCCCAGTTGGAGATGGTTGATTTTCACCACAGATATCGGAATGACAGTGGGTTGGAACTTTGGGTCGTACGTAAAAGTCACCGTTTCTGGAAAATACAAGGGAATGATTTGCAACACATCTCTATGTGGCAACAACAATGGTCGTCAAGACGACGACCATTACTACAGTAGAAAATGTGCTCCACCACCAACACCATGTATCCCTGATTCCACAAAGAAAGCTGTGATTGATAAATGTCATTTGATGAGCGATCCCAGCTCACCATTCCATGGTGCATGTAACCGTTATTTTGATCCAGTAAATTTGATCAGTAATTGTAAATATGACGCATGTCGCTGCACCGATCCAATGGAATGTGTTTGTAACGCTTTCGCTGCTTACAGTAAACTTTGTGTTGAATATGGTGGTCTTATTGACTGGAGATTCAATGGAACTTATTTGTATCCAAAACTCAAAGAATGTGGTACGAATAACTGTTTAACTTAACTTACTTTTGCTAACAAATATTATTTTTCTTTCAAGTGAAAAAGTGTGATACAATGGCACAAAATTTGTTATTTGTGCATCGATAAATGCATTGCTAAATGTTCATTCTTTTTTCTGTGTAGAGCAAACATGCAGTAACAAAGGAGAAATTTTCACAGAATGTGGATCTGCTTGTGCGAAAACATGTCGTGATATATCACGTGGTATAAGATGCAGTGAAATCTGCATTCCCGGATGTCATTGTCCCAAAGGATCTTACTTGGATGACAAGAATCGTTGTGTTCCTATGAAGAGATGCCCATGTTTCTTTGAAGGAAAATACTATAAGCCTGGCGAAAATGTCAAAGTTGGACGATGTAAAACCTGGTAGATATTTTTTTATTTTGATGAGAGTTTTACTCAATTTGACAATATTATTTAATCTGTGCACATCAATTCTTTTTGTTTTGTATTTTTTTTTCTTTAGTACGTGTAATATGGGAGCTATGGCTTGTGTTGAAGATCGAAACTGCTCCTCTAAGGGTAAGAGAAACAATGCCTTCTGATACTTTTAACGTGTTAGATGTAGCTAAATAGTTCAGTCAATTTGAATGTTTTTGAAACACAATTTATTGCACTAGCCGTTTAACTATTTACCTTTTTTAAACAGACCTTATTATTTTTCTCTTTAAATGCTTCTATGAAAACTTTTCTAAGAAACGGCATGAACTAATTATGTATGTTTACAGGTCCTTGTGAGTCTTTCCCGTGTAAAAATGATGGTTTTTGTATTGAGGAAGGAAATAATTTCACTTGCATTTGTGCCAAGGAATATCAAGGAAAGACTTGTGAAGGTTTGTTATATTACACTTATCGTCACATGCAGAAATGATCGACTACATGTCACTGGTTAATTATCACAGCATAAATGTTATTTTTAGCATATATAGGGACCACTGAATGATATTCGTATACACCGTAATAAAGTTTTGTTGTTGTTCACTGACGTTTAGACAACCTTAGCGGTAGTCTTCTTCAGAGTCAAAATGACTCTGACGACTCTGAAGATGACTACTTTTTGACTCTGAAGATGACTACCGCTAAGGTTGTCGAAACGTTAGTCAACAACAACAAAAACAGTCCTTCTCAGGACTATACTAACCTGGACGATCTACATCTACAAACATATATACGTTGACCATTGTCGTTGACCGTTGTCGATTGACATTCAAAATAGAAATTTTTGAGTGCAGCAACAATTTGCATGAATTTCTTTAATTGAATTAACAAAAATACGAAAATGTAAAACTGTAAAGCTGGTGTGTGTTTGATAAGAAAAATGACTAAGATCACTAGCTCAGTGAAACAAATTTGAAGGAACTTCTTATTTCTTTGATACTTGCAACGTTCATCAAAATATCTACATTCAAGATAACTCAATAAGTTACAGTTTTGAAGTTTAACTCAGACATATTTTCCCTGAGTAACACAGTGTCGATCGCACTGTTTGTAAGTTTTATTTACACTGAAAAAGGTGTAATTCTTTAAATAAATTTACGTGATTTTTTTTTCTGTTTCATGCGTTAAATTGAGAAACCATTATTTGCTCTAAGCTGATGTTCTTTCTATAGAGTTAAAGCCAACACCGTGTGACTCAGGTCCTTGTAAAAACAACGGTACTTGTACAAACAAAGGCGATAACTTTACATGTGAATGTGCTGATGGTTTTGAAGGCAAAACTTGTGAAGGTTCGTTTGAAACTTGAAATTTGTGTAGTAATATGTACAAAACACTTGTGTGTGTGTTGGTCATATTTGTAACTGGGAATGATTTTGACACTTTAAATATTGGATAGAATGTAGTTTCACACCCATTGTAACTGACACGTGTTATATTTCACAAATATACTTTGAATGTTTATGGCAAAGCTTGAATTATAACATAAACAAAAGGATTATGTAAGACAACCGGCAATTATGATATAGACCGCAGTTTGAAAAAAGCATTTCATCGCAAAGTTTTGTATAAATATTTTTTACATTAAGTCATGAACGCTTGTGCCAAAGAACCATGTAAGAATGACGGTGTTTGTGCAAGTAATGGGTCTTCTTATCAATGTGAATGTAAATTTGGTTTTATGGGAAAGAATTGCCAATGTGAGTATATTTTTTGATTTTCGCATCTCTTTTTTTGTATTTTCTACCTTAGATATAGCATCTTTATGTCTTAGCCATGACTGTGAAAGTATTGACATTTTAGAAATTTTGTGAGAACGCTCTTTGAAATATGCAAATGATTAGCTATTATTTGATGAGGTTGTGCAATATATTGAAAACTATTTAGACCAAGGTCAAATGATTTCTGAGATAGCGAAGAGGAGGCGGATAACGTGCGGTCAATAACGAAGCTGAGGGGGAAATAATTCTTGATATCATGCTCGACCATGTCTACTTCATTTTGCGTCCATTTATTTGACAGGCCAACTGCATACATGTACGCACTACGTACCTATTTTTCTATTTAGATATGGATGCTTGTGCTAAAGAACCATGTCAAAATAATGGTACTTGTACAAGTGTTGGGTCCTCCTATCAATGCAACTGTACATCTGGTTTCAATGGAAAGAATTGTGAGGGTAAGCATGTTTTGTAAAATTTACACTCATAATTTCGTTACTCGTGTTTTGGAGGGCCACTAGTATAAGTTTTGGTTGTTGTAAGTCGTGAAATCAACTTTCTTCACCCAGAATGCATTGCATCGTAATTTTGAAAATGTATACAAACAAATAAGAAGAATGAAAAATATAAATTCGTCCAAAACGTGTAACAGCATAATGCACGTTTATGCATTTTTGATTTTGTACAAATGAAACTAATCAAACATGCCTTCAGTCATTCCGTTGTTATTTTTGTTCTACTAATGAGTTCCACGCGTTTTCAATTCCATTTTAACATATGAACCTACACCATTGCATTTAGTTATGATCATGTCATCGTATAAAGAGTGCAGAGAGTATCAATTGTTGAACGAGAGTACCAGAAATGTTGAATATCGTCAAGGTGGAAGTTTACAATGTGACAGACGTCTCACAAAAGGATGGTACAGATTTGGTGGTGGAGCTGGAACCAAAATGTCTGAATCCTGCGTTCCAAAAAATCGATGTGGCACGCATGCCCCTGGATGGTTAAATGGAACTCATCCCACTGTGGATGAAGGAAATGTGACCAGAAATGTCTGCTATCATTGGCGTAGTAAATGTTGCTTATGGTCAAATGCTATTAACGTCATAAACTGCGGTCCATATTTTGTTTACAATTTAGGTACTACGCGATTCTGCTATTTAAGGTATTGTGGCACAGACTAAAACACAACAATTGTGTTGGACATTTATGTAGTCTTACTGAGCTTATTCTTATCCTACAAGGCGCACGAATAATATGATTTATAGAATTTAGGTTAAACCAACTTCGCTTTGGGAAATTTATTTCTTGTATTTTTATTAATTGCACGTTAGACCATTAAAGTTTTTGCATAAAATGTATTGTTGTTGATGGACAAGAGTTTAAAAATCGTCGATTTTTTTATGAGGAATGTTAATGAAATAATGTATTGGTTTTGCTATGTTATGAAAAATTGAATTCGTCTGTCTGAAAGATATGTTATTGGGAAAACGTAATCTTTTAAATGTAGTATTCGGGATCTTTTTCAGCTTTGGATTTTACTTGACCATCAAATTTAGTCTATGATTGTACATCAAAATTTTAGTGTAAGGCTGTATGTCGATTTTTCTGTGCAAGATATAAATCTACTATAAAGCCGAAAATTGCCATATTTGGAGCATAGGATTGTATGCATTCAGATACTGAAATGTCTATTGACATCTCCGTCCTTTGCAAAAACCATTTTCATACATGTGATGCACATTCAGTCATGTCCCTCAAAATGAAACATCATTTTCACATCAACATATTTAATTCTTTTGCTTTGGTTGTACTTAAATGTGTATCATATAAAGTTCATAATGAAGATTCACGCACGAATATATATGAAATTAGAAAAGTTCGTGTTCGGCCATTTTGTTGTGATTGTATTTATAACGCACGAAGTTTGCGATTGTTGTTCTTTTTTTTGTTTAAAATATCTAAACTGAAATGGAAATGAGAAGCTCAGGATATGCTAAAAACGGAAATTTTATTGAAATCGCCATGAAGCAGTGGTATAATAACGACAAAGACGAGAGGTTTTTACAGATCATTATCTTAATCAGAGTTCATTATGGAATATCCTGCCACGGATGTGAATCAATTAATGTTACATTGCACTGAATATTTCGATGATGGTGATAGCAAGTCCGAAGATGTCTATAACAGTGGTGGTAATGGCTGGAAATAGAAGAAAAGGAAGTGCTACTTTACTCAAAAAATGATTGATAAACATTTTCCATTGTCATGTAATTAACCATGAAAACACCGTTCAACATATCTCATAACCACTCAACACGTGTGTGTGAAGATGCTCTTAACATGTTAAGTCTACAATTTTGAGCGCATTTTTAGTGAGCATGTTGAGTGCGTTTGCACGTACTTAAAAGCTTTAAAGTTTGAACCATTTGAAGCAATTTGCATATGTGGTAACTAAACTTTTCCTGAATATTGCTAAGGTAGCTAAGCTTTTTCTGAATGTCTCATTATCTAATAATAATATTCACTGAACTTATGGCAAAATTTTTTGTTGATCTTGTTGCACTTACCTAGAGAATACGAACGACAAAATATTTCTACCTTTGTGTCTGCGTTTGTGTCTAGTTTCTGTCTTCATTAATTAAAATAATTAATTAATGAAGATGGCGGCTGTTTCTAATGTGCGATTTTCAGCAGAAGAAAAATTACATCAAGAAGACATATACAATAGCGCCGTTCAACAGCCACCTTCCTCCTTAACAAAAGTTGAAGAGGCAATTTTCGCAGTAGCAAGTGACATGCAATGCGAAAATGTGGAAATTGTCTCAAAGCGGTGTGTCGAGAAAGTACAAGCTATGCTTCAACTTGCAGAGGTCAACTTCGACACACAACAATAGTTCGCTGAGATTGATGGGACTTTCTATCAATCCAGCTAAGCTCTTAAAGGAGGAGTCACGAATTTGGCTAATGGGGATTCGTCGACGACTTGGTGGCAAAAAAAGCATCAGAAACCCATATTATGGGGAATTACGAGGGTTACTCCGCATGCTTTTTTGCTACCATAATGCGTACTGTTCGCACTTTGGATAGTTTTGTGGCTCCTTTCTGTTACCAGGTTAAAAACAAGAAGGCTGAGGTGATATCCTTCACCTCCATGCGCCTTTTGAATGAGTTGCTTGTTTTGTTGTCTGGCTTGTCCAAGGAAGATGTTGCTGCTTACCTAAGGCGAAGTTTTAGCGGACGTCGCAAGGGTCAAACAGCAGCAGTTATTGTAAACGAGGTGAAAGACTTTGTTTATTCAATGATGAGCCTTCCAGTTTCTTATTTTGTACATAAAGACAAACAAACATAAAATTTTCCAAACAGCAAAAGAAGCAACTCATTCAAAAATTAAGAAAAAATATGAAAAAATTCAACCTAATTCATGCCATCCCTCTAAAAACAAAGAGATCTACAAATACCTTTTAAATTTATTTCAAATAAAAAAGTTGAAACCTGACTAACAACTGAGCCATTTATTAGCTCTTGGTAATTGTTGCATTGCCTGCTTTAAAACAAAAATAGGGCAAACTAGCACATTGCCTGCGAATACTAGACAGTAAATTTTTAATGAGGACACCACCCTCTGGCTTCTTGAGTTTTATTAAAGTTGACAAAGGTTTAAAAATTAGTTAAACTACACAAATATCAGTCAATGTAAAATTCAGATAAGTATAATATATGCAAATTTGATTGTATGCACATGTAAAGATTGCATGCTCTAACATGTACATATTCTGGTAAGATTAAGTTGCACAGATTATACTTGTCCTAATGTGATAAAAGACTAAATACTTTTGTTACATTGTATATATACAATTACAATATTACAACTTAACCAAACAAAAAACTAATTTTAAAAATCTTTGTCTTCATTCAGCTTGTACATAAAATTACTTTGCTTTGTAACAAATCACAAAAAATGCCAAATCAAAAAGCAATTGTTAAATAATTGTTTTTTCGTAGAATGATTGCTATAAGCAATGACAGTTCTCTGTACTGAGCAGGAAATTTTCATTGCGGCTCAACATGCCATGTCCAATGCTTAGAAAACTTACCAGCCAAGAGCATGCTGAATCATCTCTTCCAAAAGGGGCCCCATCTTCACCAATAGCAACATGAAATGAGTTTGGCTGATTAAAGTTGAAAAGTATATACTTACCAATGTTCAAATAAAATTCTGCAAGCTTAACAAGAATATCTTCTATATCTCTGTAAAAACCATTGACCTTCTCACACTCATCCAACCCATTGCACAGATGTTCACGAACACTAAATAACTTACCAATATCAATAGATTTAATGTATTGCATTAATCTATCATAGGGAACCAGCCGAGGGGTGGGACATTTAGCAACACTAGCACGTTTAGCCCTCTTACTACCACATATCTGCTCATATGAGCTAGCCTTATAAACTCTTCTATACTTTTCTTTGCCCATAACTCCTTTGCTATAATACACCGCAATCGATCTTAACATATTCTCATCTGATCTTTCGAACTTCTTCAAATCTTCTTTGTAAATTTTTGGAAAAACCTTGCTCTTAAACTTACTGCACTTTTCTAATCCTTTTACTATATCACCCACTTTGCACTTTTTTTCTAATGTCTCCAACATTACAACGGTACCAGGCTTTGTATCATCCTTACTACCTCCATGAATGGCATTAGCTGCCAACATTGTCTCCATCCTGCGTGTTCGACCAGTGGACTCCACAAAACCTTGCCCAGTTGGTTTGTTTCTTCGCCTAACAACTGCCTTCCTGCCTATGCTAAAACCTTTCTCCTCTTGTTCCTCCTGCCTACTTCCACCTTCAATGAACTCTGTCCTGATGCTATCTAACTCTTCTACTTCATTCACCAATTTCTTTACCTGTAAAATTTATGAATACAGTTCCAGCACAAAAATGGCATACATATTCTGATATAAAATACAAGCACAAACAGTTCAAACTAAAAATACAATTAAACTGAAATCGTACGCCTTGGCGCTAAATATGTCGATTCTGTATAAAACAATCTTTCATTAAAAAATAAGCCTATCATTACAAAATTCGACACATCATGTCAAAATATTGCATATGTTATTGACTTATTGACATAAGAAAAGATCGAGTAAGCAAAGATCATTTCAAATAAAACTACTAAACATTTTGTACCTTATCATCAAGACGTTTAAGCTTCTTAGACACACATTTTGCTTTCTTTTGCTTGCTCATATCTCCTTCCCTTGCCAATCTTTTGTTGCGCATATATTCCCAAACATTGATCGTTTGTAATTCGTTGCCTTGCGGAACGGCATGATTGACGCTAAATTATCCCATTTTCTTCAAAACAAAAAACATACGATTGTAAGAAGACTATTTATCTTACCAAATGTCCAAAATTTAAACAAAAGAATGATCGGATAAAGAAACCTATACAAGCCGAAGTTAGACTAAATTATCAAATTTCGCCAACCGACGCCATTTCGCCAAAAACACTCCAGCAAGAAGCTCGTCTGTTGAAAAACTATATGTGTAACCATAGCAAATGAGATATCAAAATGATCCCCTAGTTATCCTCTATAGCACTCTTGTGTTCCCAAGTAGCTCAAGGAAAACGTTTGCTGGAAAATCATCGACAAAAATAAGGAATTTGCTGTTCGATGAATTCGTTACCAAGCTTCGAAAAATGTCGCGCGCCGGTAATAAAATTTGGCACATTCTAATTCTCTAATTTTGCGCACAAAAATGCCAAGCGTGTAATGTCCATATTTTTGTGTATGTTGCTGTCTATTTGGTGTCAACCTTAATTAGGGGGAGGTGCTTCTTCATATGTTCTTTTTTGCTCGACTCATTTCTTTTAAAGCGTTTTACTGAAGGTAATTAGGCAATCGTACATTTAAAAAAAGTTGTCGACACATCTGAATACATGAATAAACGGCTCTGTGCTTTACATGTCTTTTCGTTTTCTTGTCTTTTTTTATTTACCCATTTTTTTCTACCTTGGTGTCTGTCTTTGTGTCTATTTTTATGTCTATCTTTTTGTCTACCTTTGTTGTCTACCTTTGTGTTTATCTTTTTGGAAAAGTTTGTGTTTTCCTTTATGTGTACCTTAATGCCACCTATGCGTTTATATTTTTGTCTACCTTTTTGTCCCCTTTGTTTGTGTCTTTTGTCTACATATTACGTTATGGCCACCATGCTGGATTATTTTAGCAAAGCATTTTGCTTATTTACAATGCAATGTCTTCCAATGGCACAAAAATTCCATTGTTTTCTCTTTCCTGGGGGAATGGTTGCACACTATCCAGATAAATGTGCTTTGAAATTGAGTTACTTGAACATCATCTCTTTCATTACCCTTGAACCAATCTTATATTCTGATCATGTGGGTGGATATAGATCATATATTTTTAAACAACTTACCTGCATGCTGTTTTCCCATTGGTTTTGTCGAGTGTGTATGTCTAACTTCAGTAGTCAAGATATTCGATGTGTTGATGAAAAGTTTGAGAAAGCTATTGGTAATAACGGTAAAGCAAATGATCGAGGTTCAGTGTATTTTGAATAGATCGTGGCCACATGTGAAATTACTGCATGTTTCTAATGTGATTAGAGAGAAGAGAAGTTCTGTGTCAATCCTAAATAAGGTGGATAATGAAAAATTGATAAATCGTTTTGAAGATCTTGGTATCGAAGCATGAATTCGTAGTAGCAATACATAAATTAAGAGTTTACATCTCACGGAATCTGTTTAAGATTTATAAGCAACCATTGACAGCGATATTTTGATAATTTTGAATTGAATCAATAAGAGCTGCTTGTGTTTTTCATAGTAATAATTTCACATTACACAGTTGACACCAACGTTGAAAAACTGATAAGTTGACAAAACGCAAGGTTTAAAAAAACGATCGTTTGAAGTAGGTAGTAAGACTTCCAATGATTGACCTCACTGGAAAATTCTCACAAATAAAAACCATCTATAATTAATTGAGATGAAAATCGTGTTTTCAAGAAGCACATTTGAAATAGCTTATTCACAAAAAGACAACATAAAAATTTAGTGTAAGTGAAAATAATGTAATAATTTAAAATGTGCGTCAAAGTTCTTTCATTTTAACTTGTACAATGTACAATACTATCCATTCATTTTTGCCTCTTATAACCCTTCATTATTTAAAATGTAGTTTATAAAGTTCCAACCTCGTACCCAGGAGCGTAATGTAAAGAGCCTGGGTACGAGATTGACAGAGTGATAATGATCCGGCGAGTTAAAGAAATTGTTTTGAATTCACTTCCTCTAGTTCTTGACACACGTTGTATCACAGATTAGTGATAGCGTTTGATTCTAAAAAAAAACACTGTGTTTCTATTACTCCGTAATATTTTTATTGGCATTTTATTAAGCGTCAAGTCGTGCAATTTTAAATCTAGGAGGGCAGACAAGAATATGAAAAAATGTATGGGTATACTCGCATTGATGTTGTGCATGAGTAACCTCATGATATTGTGACACAAACTACGAAGGCTTCAAGCAATATATACATAAGTTTTCTTAAGAGCAGCTGATATCACGAGTGATTTGTTGTTGTTGTCGTCTTCTTGTCTAGCAGCAGACGTTCAAATAATAAAGTTGTGGTGTGAGGTATAGCTTCATGATACATCAAACATTTGGATTCACATGCAAATTTAGGTAACAATTTGGAATTTTTAGCCTTTAAGTAATAAACCGTTGTTTACAAGCATAGTATAATAAAATATTTTTAATAAATCTGTATTGTGTTGCAGTTCAAGGGGTTGCTAATGTCCTAAACCTCCGGTACTCTTCATGTTAAACCAGGGCGAACTGAGCTAAGATTTTTTCACTGCTACGACACTTATTTCATGTATCTCACGTCTGATATTGAGTGCAACTTGACATCACACAATAATCACAATCGCACTGCATCTTTGTTCGAATGAATGTAAAAAATTCCCAGAGATTTAGCATCCAAATAAAATTATCTGTACGCAATTTTAAAATGTTTATATGTATATTCTATTTGATACTCTAACACATAGAAAATAGTGCACACAAACGTTAGTTTCATTTGGTGTTTCGTAATGTCTTTAAATGTCTTTACGGCAAAAGCCAGTAGGAAACACATAAAGCTACAGAGAAGAGATATTAAATTTTCAAATTTTGGTAACTTTTAGCTCTTAAGTGGCATAGAGATCAAATAAAAACATGCATCTATTTATATATTCAAAAGCAATTTTTGTTGTTATATTTAAGATGTTTATATTGTGAAATCATGATTAAGCATTTCAGTAGAGTTATCTTCATCGATATTCAATCGTGTATTCAAATCATAAGAAAAGTAAACATGTCACTTCATTTGAATAAGTCTGACATAATTCGCACTGATTTCACAAGTACGTGTGTGACTACAATCATTAGTTGCACTTTGCAAATAACAAGATTGTCTAGCTGTCTTGTGAGAGAACTGATGTTTGTATAACATTCATTGTTATAGCTAGTAAATTGTGGAAGAACCTGTCTTTCTATATGAGAAAGCTGTCTCCTCTCAAAAGTGTTGAAATGCGAGATTCTATCGATTTATGGAATATTTGCGATCTTACTTATTATGCAAATAGCGAATTTATTTTAATTTATTGCTGACAACTGTCAATTTTTTATATAAAGCAAGGCAATTCTTAAAATTTAAAGATATTTCTAATTTAGCCCTTGTAATGAAATGTGTATAATAATAACACTGATATCGAATGATATACTTTTGAGAGAATTCCATCAATATCATATGCTTTTGTAAACATACGCAGAAAAAGTTTGATTAGCAAAAATGGGCGACTCAAATCTGATTATTTTAGTAATGAATATGAAACTTTTTTACCGTTAAATACGACTGATTTGATAAAAATCTTTTACTACCAATCTGGCAAACTAGAAACGGCGCACTAAAACCACTTTCATTGTCGAGTCCTTCTTATCAAAATGTGAAAGCGTTGAAAATTTAGTAGCGGTAATAAAGACACCTCGCAAACATAGAAAGAACAATAGAAAGTTTGTGAAAGACTCTTTATTGAATCTTTAAAATGTTTGGTTCCTTCAGCAATTATTCTTTAAAACTTAATTCTGAAAACAAAAACTCTTTGCGACACAAAACGCGTCTGTAGCAACCTGTAGACATGTACACACATGAATCTGTAAAAATAATAGAAAACACTGCCCATTTAGTAGGAAGCATTGTTATACTTTAGCTAATGCAAATTTATGACAGAGCATATAAAAGAACAGACCACTTTCCTAACCAACGTTAAGAAGAAGGTGCGACAGGCTTAAATGGATGTAAGAATGCACCAACATCTATTCAATCAATCTGAGCAATAAAGCATTTTTATAGCTTGCTGGTATTTTAGATTATCAAGTAAATATAAAGTGACATAGCTAGTAAAATCTGCAGCAGATAAATATTGCTTGATATAAAATGAGACTTTTCATGTTGTTTGTCGTCGTTGTGATAGTGCATGATGCATCGTGCTGGTGGTTTTGGCGACGTAGAAGACGACGACCTCGACGACGTTATTGTCGTACACCTGGTTCTTGGTCGAGCTGGAGTTCTTGTAATCATCATTGTGGAAATGCAGGAGTACAGATACGAACTAGAAAATTAACTTCCTCTAAATGGATTTACGGAAGCTGTCCACGTTATAATTTACGGCAAACAAGGCCATGCAACAGAAATAATTGTCGCAATGGAGGAAGACAAACCTATGGACGTTGTATTTGTTCAAGCTGTTACACAGGAACGTGCTGTGAAAAACGTAGGTTTTGAATGACATTATTTTAATGTGAGTGGAAAGATTAGAATTAATCATCGGCTTCAAATTGCTGCTGGAAGTAGCCCTCCAGTTGCATTCAGCACAGTATAGTAGTCTCACTTCACTGTGCCACTTGCTGCTGTATATTTAATTCGAATACTGGCTGCGGATAGCCACTTAAGCGCTTCTATTGGTCAGAAAATGCAATTTACTGGCTGCCACTATGTTAATCACATGCGCAATAAGATATGCGCTTAACAAAAATTGTATAGAGTGGGACTACTGTTTGTTTTTTTACTGTGGTATTCAGCTTAGAGTTATTCTTAATCTTTATTACTGTTTGAAACATTTGCTACCTCATTATAGGAGGTAGCTTACAGAATTTTATGAAAATTTGTTGTACTTGTAACTTGTCTACTTGTATCTTGTATTCATGTTTCTGTAAAACGTAACACTTGCACATATATCTGAGTGTTGAGTAAAATTTATCTGAACATCGGAAAACAATAATTTTTTTTATCAAGCACGTCGAAGAAATTGTTTAGTCAGTCCATGGTCTCCATGGAGTTCATGTAATCATCGATGTGGAAATGCAGGTGTACAGACACGAACAAGAAGAAAGATTAGACCAGAAAGTTGTGGCGGACATTGTTATGTTTTACTCCAAACAAGAGCATGCAACAGAAATAAGTGTCGCAATGGAGGAAAACCAACCCATGGTAGATGTATCTGTTTACGCTGTTCGTCAGGAACATGTTGCAACATTAAAGGTAGGTGTTATATTGTTTTGCGTTACCTTGCACCGTGCGTAAAAATCTTGGGACTAATAGGCTATTGGCTTCAAGCCATGACGGGAGACAGCCGTCCAGTTGTATTCAGTTCAATGCCATAGCCATGAGTTATGTTAAGTTACAAACTGTAAGTTAACTGTAAGTTACAAACTCTTGCTGTCTCATTATAACCATGATTACAGTTTTAAACATTTTCTGCCTCATCGTAACTATGATTAGAGTTTCAATTATTTGCTGCATCATCAAAATCGTGAAGATTATTTCAAACACTCGCGATTTTGTCGGAACAGTTTATACATTTTCATGAAAATATACAATATTGAAATAGTACAAAACTAAAATTTTTATTAAGCACCTCCAAGAAAGTGTGTAGTGAGTCGATGGTCCACGTGGAGCTCTTGTAATCATCGATGTGGTAATGCAGGTGTACAGAAACGAACAAGATACAAGATTAGACCAGAAAGTTGTGGCGGAAGTTGTCCATACAAATTAAAGGATAAAAGAGCATGCAACAGATATAAATGTCGTAATGGAGGAAGACCAACCTATGGGCGTTGTATTTGTTCAAGCTGTTACACAGGAACGTGCTGTGAAAAACGTAGGTTTTAAATAGCATGCGTGCCTGGAAAGATTAGAGTTAATCATTGACTTTAAATTACTGCGGAAGGTGGCATTCAGCACAGTATAGTAGTCTCACTTCACTGTGCAACTTGCTGCTGTATATTTATTTCGAATACTGGCTGCGGCAAGCCACTTAAGCGCTTCTATTGGTCAGAAAATGCAATTTACTGGCTGCCACTATGTTAATCACATGCGCAATAAGATATGCGCTTAACAAAATGTTGTATAGAGTGGGACTACTGTTTGTTTTTTTACTGTATTATTCAGTTCAGAGTTATTCTTAATCCTTATTACTGTTTTAAACATTAGCTAGGTAGCTTATAGGAGGTTGCTTATACAATTTTATGAAAATTTAATGTACTTGTCTACTAAAGACCGAAATAAAACAATGTATTCATGTTTCTGTAAAACGTAACACTTGCACATTTATCTGAGTGTTGAGTAAAATTTATCTGAACATTGAAAAACAACAATAATTTTTTTTGAAGCACGTCAAAGAAATTGTGTAGTCAGTTCATGGTCCAGCTGGAGTTCTTGTAATCACAAATGTGGAAATGCAGGTGTACAGACACGAGCAAGAAGAAAGATTGTGAAAGAAATTTGTGGTGGACGATGTCCATACAGATTACGCCAAAGAAGATCATGCAACAGAAATAAATGTCTCAGTAGAGGATGGTCGTCATACGGTAGATGTATCTGTTACAGTTGTTGGAGAGGAAAATGTTGCAACATTAAAGGTAGGTGCTGTGTTATTGTTTTATCTTGCCTTGTGCAAGAAGATTGGGACTGATTATTGTTTTCAATTTATTGCGGAGGAATAGCGCTCCAGTTATATTCAATCCAATTTCATTAACATGATTACAGTTTTCAACATTTGCTACCTCATCAAAACCATGATTACAGTTTCAAACATTTACTGCCTCATTGCATATTACTGTCGCAATAGCTTCTTTATGCATTTTTATTAGAATGTTCTTTTATTGTCTACAAATAACAGGACGTAAAAAAATTTATAATGTTTCAATAAAAATATAATACCTACTCAGCACTCGCGCATCTAAGTATTAAGTAAATAAATATTGAAATAAAACAAATATTTCTTAATCAAGCACGTCGAAGAAATTGTCTCGTCAGCAGTTGGACCAGTTGGAGCTCATGTAATCATCAATGTGGAAGTGCAGGTGTACAGACACGAACAAGATACAAGACTAGAAAAGAAAGCTGTGGCGGAAGATGTCCATACAGTTTACGCAGAACAAGAGCATGCAATAGAAATAAATGTCGTAATGGAGGAAGACCAACCTATGGTAGATGTATCTGTAGAAGTGGTTGGAAAGGAAAATGTTGTAACATCAGAAGTAGGTGTAGTGATACTTGATTTTAACAAAATAATTCATTCTTAAATTTTGATTATCGTGATATATGAATTCTTTACTACGCTCTGAAGAAGATCTTCATTAATTATTACTGAAAAAAGATGTTGACGATAAAAGGCTTATCTACTGTAACAAGACATCGTTAATACTGTGCATGTCAAGCGACTAAGTTCGCAAAGGTTGCAGGACGCAACCTTTAGCAGACATGTTTCATATAACAAATTGATTGAACGAGAAAGCCTGAAAAGTACAGCATGAGCGAACATTTCCGGCTTGGCCTACCAAAGGCTTGAACCAATAAAAATCTTTGTTTGATTATCTCACCCACGTAAAGTAATGAGACATAATGTACATAAAATACTGCTGCAAGTCAAACTCTGTTCTTGAGTAGCCTGAGTGAACGCCTAATTGGAGTCTTAATCGTTTTATACTGTACAAATTCCAACTGCTCGGTCTGTACAACAGCAAATCGATCTGATCTTTTTCAATATTAAACCTCGAGCTTGGTAAAATAGAGCTTAATACCTCCACACATAAATAGACAATTTTAAAGATTAGTTTTCCATCTTCACGTTTAATGACCACGACATACTCTATGCGACATATATATGGCGCAAATGTTACAATTTCTGAAAAAGTCAGTGTTTCTGGAAAAATTGCGAATTTTGATGGTGTTTTTTCATTACTACTGTCAGCAAAAATTATGACAGTTAATTTTTGGGTTTTAACATGATCAAGGCAACCGGCATTTTCGGTTTGAGATATATCAATGAAGATGTCTTATAATTTTCATTTAGTTGGAGTTTGTAATCGTTCTCTTTGCAAAAATGGTGGCTCATGTCTTGTTGATGGCAGATCATACAAATGCATTTGTCTTCCAGATTTCATTGGTGTTCACTGTGAAAAGGGTAAATTTTTAACTTATAATTTGTTATAAGACTTCAAAGTCGATATATTTTGAAAGGTTATGAAAACAAGTGATTGAAAATCATGAAATAATTGTAAATGCTTGCAGTACAGTACTCATGTGGTTTAAGATGGAGACGAACCACAAATCATAATACCATGTAAAACTAAAATTTAATAGGCTCTACCATCATTACCTATATACAGACACATACCTTTTAAATACATTATATTCATTTTAATATACGTCCACTATTTATAACTGCTTCTTCAGGTAACAAAGGCTTTCTCTGTTTTAGTGGATATTAATTTTTATATAACTTTTTGTCGGCATTATTATTATTGATTAGAAAGTCTAAATATTATATTTTGTTTTTCTTTTAGAGGTTGCAAATCCCTGCAAGCCAAATCCATGCAAAAACGGTGGACAATGCAACGTATTGGGCAACATTTACACCTGTAAATGCAAGCCTAAGTTTGGTGGTTACAACTGTGAACATTCTCAAAGTAAGAATACAAAACGCTCATAGTTAATTTTATTCTTTGCTGATTTCAAAAGCCACTACCGTTTGTTCAAATTGTTTTGTCAAATTGGAAGCTGAACACCAGTCCTTTCACCGGATTAAAATTTTCGTCATTTGGATTGCTCTGTTCATATAACAATTAAATTTTCTTCCCTCTACTTGTCAATTTATTTTTTAACAATCCTTTTATAAAATTAAAATTGATACAATTATTCGGCATGCTGGAAAAGATAGAATGCACGGCTCAAAGTGGGAGTACTGAGCAAACAGCGAAGCCCTCTTAATCCGGAATAATGAAAATGCCTGTCATTTAAATAAGTTTCAACTGTAAATGATTACTCCACACTCAAGACGCAATACCTTTTCGAGCTACTTGTTTAAGTAACAGAAATAATCCAAGTTCATATGTCTTGTAACAAATTTGATTTTATTTTTTTTACTAAGCAACATGTTATGCATCTGGTGATCCTCATTACACCTCATTCGATGGCAAAAGATTTGATTTTATGGGAGATTGCGAATACGAGTTTGCAAAAGATTGTGAAAAAAACAAACTTTTTACTGTCCTTACAAAGAATGAGCGTTGTGGACGGCGTGTGACCTGTACAGCGGCTGTTAAGATAATTATAGCGGGATACTTCATTCAGTTGACACGTCAGCGTGGTACAGCGAATATAAATGGAGTTAGGTTGTCAAAATTCCCAATAGTCCGTCGTGGTAAGAGTTTCAATGCTTTTGTTTTTATTACATATATTTAAATAATGGTTAAAGCTAAATAAATAAAGCATGTTTCAGAACTTCCGGGTTAAAAAGAAAGTAATCCTCCATTGTAATAAGACTCAGGGATCAGTTTGAGAATTGAGAAATAAAAATTTACGAATATCTTTGTTTAAGGATTCAAGATCACCTATCCCGGTAGGAGTTGGCTGATTTTTACTGCGGATATCGGAATGTCAGCAAGTTGGGACTTTCGGAGGGAATTAAAGGTGACAGTTTCTGGAAAATACAAAGGAATGATTTGCAACACATCTTTATGTGGCAACAACAATGGTCGTAAAGGCGACGACCATCACTACAGTAGAAAATGTGCTCCACCACCAACACCATGCATCCCTGATTTCAAAAAGAAAGCTGTGATTGATAAATGTCACTTGATGGCCGATCGTTCTTCACCATTCCATGGTGCATGTAACCGTTATTTTGATCCAGCCGCCTTGATCAGTAATTGTAAATATGACGCATGTCGCTGCACAGATCCAATGAAATGTGTTTGTAACGCTTTTGCTGCTTACAGTAAACTTTGTGTTGAATATGGTGGTCTTATTGACTGGAGATTTAAGGGAACTTACTTATATCCAAAACTCAAGGAATGTGGTAAGAAGAACTCTTTAAATTTACAATATTTTCTTCCTTCAAGTAGAAAAAGTGTGTATGGTAATACAAAAAGATCAATTTAGTTTTTCATAAATCATTACAATCATCCCTAAATGTGCATCACATTTTCTATGTAGAACAAACATGCAGTAACAAAGGAGAAATTTTCACTGAATGCGGATCTGCTTGTGCAAAAACATGTCGTGATATATCACGTGGTCTAAACTGCAGTGAAACCTGCATTCCCGGATGTCATTGTCCCAAAGGATCTTACTTGGACGACAAGAATCATTGTGTTCCTATGAAGAACTGCACATGTTTCTTTGAAGGAAAGTATTATAAGGCCGGGGAAAATGTCAAAGTTGGACGATGTAAAACCTGGTAGATATTTCTTTCTTTTGATAAGAATTATTATATGAATAGTTTATTGTGTTCACTACAATTTTTTTTCGTTTGGTGTTTTTTCTTTAGTACGTGTAATATGGGAGCTATGGCGTGTGTCGAAGATCGAAACTGTTCTTCTAAAGGTAAGAATGACATTGGCTTTTTAAATGTTTAATTATTTTGAATATCGCTACGTGAAATGTGCTGTTTGAAGGTGCATTCCTGGTAAAGTTAGATGTAAATAATTCAGGAAATGTAAATGTTTTTGAAGCACAAATTATCACGATTTATCATAAGAAGATCAACCTTTTACAGCTGTATATTTGATGTTTGTTAAACACGTTTCATCTGTTTTTCTTATCAAATGGTTGTATGAAAACTTTTCTAAGAAATGCTATATGAACTAATCAAATACGTTTATAGGTCCTTGTGAGTCTTTCCCGTGTAAAAATGATGGTGTTTGTATCGAGAAAGGAAATAATTTCACTTGTAATTGTACGAAAGAATATCAAGGAAAAACTTGTGAAGGTATGTTGTATTACATTCTTAGTCAGCGAGTTTACTGAGAAAACTGCGCATGTCAGTGATGACACGGGTTATTATTGCAACATTCATGTTGAACTTGTGACAAGCCGTTGGCATATGAATGGACTGTTCTCAAGTCTTAACTGCATATTGACGACTTTCAAGCATGGAATTTTTGAACGTATGAATAACATATAAATAAATTAATTTGTTTTCGGTGAGTGCAAACAGTTTTTATCCGCGAATCCTTCTCAATAGTTAGCGCAGTTAATGAAATTCAAATTTACTTTTTATTGATATTCAAGATTAGTGGATCATGTTAAGTTTTGTTTAATATGAAGCAGTGTCAATTACGTTAATTGTGTGTAGATTGTGCTTATAATAAAAATTGTCATTGTAATAAGCTCTACGTGATTTGATTTGTATTTTATGTTATTTAGAGAAAGTTTTATGTGTCGTAATCTGATAATTTTTTATAGAGTTAAAACCAACACCGTGTGACTCGCGTCCTTGTAAAAACAACGGTACTTGTACAAACAAGGGAGAAAATTTCACATGTGAATGTGCTTCTGGTTTTGAAGGGAAAACTTGTGAAGGTTTGTCTAAATCTTGAACTTTTTTCAGTCATTGATACAAAAACTCTTTGACATGTGTGTATAAAATAGTGCCATATAGGTCTTATATTTTTATAACTAAAACGTATAAAGTATTATAATATTTAGACAATGAATAGAAATTGGTTTTAAACTCATCGTAAATTGCACATATTATACCTCATGAAAGTATCTTCTTTGTTTATGACATAAGCATGAATTATGACATAAAGAAAAGGATGATATTAGACATCCACAAATTATGAAGTAAACCACAACTTAAAAGCATATCACCAAAACGTTCTTTATAAATATTTCTTTTACATTAAGTTTTGAACGCTTGTGCCAAAGAACCATGTAAGAATGACGGTGTTTGTTCAAGTAATGGATCTTCTTATCGATGTGAATGTAAATTTGGTTTCACTGGGAAGTATTGCCAAGGTGAGTATATTTGTGAAATTTCTTATTTCTTTTACATTTTTTCTACTCCAGCTTATATATTATATATTCCTTTGAATTTACAATTTGAATGTGTATGAAAGAATTTACAATTCGTAATTTTTGCGACAACTGAGGTTGTCCATGCTATCAAGAACTATTCAGACCGATGTCAATGTTATTTGTCAAAGCAAAACTGAGGTGGTTAATAATGACCGAAGTCCAAATAATCATTAATATAATGCAAAAGCCAAATTCAGTAATTAATTTACTGTACAATTATGAACGAGAAAACTTCAAAGTATTTTGTACTGAAGTCATAAATTTTCCGTGCTTCATCATAAAATATTTTCAATAAGCTAGCAAATATCGAGGAAGATTCTGCCATATTACTTTTTAGGTTGTCAATTGTATCCAGGCTCTCTGTATTACCCACATAATGTTCCACGTCAAGGACATTTATTACATAGTATCATTTGAGTTATGTTTATCCATCTACTACATTTTGTGGGCATTTACTTGCCATGCTAACTACATACGCACTTCGTACCTATTATTCTTTTTAGATATAGATGCTTGTGCTAAAGAACCATGTCAAAATAATGGTGCTTGTACAAGTGTTGGATCCTCCTATCAATGCAACTGTACATCTGGTTTCAATGGAACGAATTGTGAGGGTAAGCATGTTTTGTAAATTTTACACTCATAATTTTGTTACTCGTGTTTTGCAGGGCCACTAGTGCAAGTTTCGGTTTTGTTAGTCGAAAGTTTGTGAACCGAGCTGCATTGCGCACTTGTATCGTGATTGTGCAATATAGCCACGGCTACTCCAATACATGAGCTCTCATTATACAAAAAATACGATGAAAAAATATTTGCACACAAGACGCACCTACGGGTTAGAATACTTCACGTTTATGCATATTTTATGTGAATGAAGCACAGCAGACATGCTTTCCATCATTCCTTTATTGTTTTTGTTTTTCCCATGAACTCCATGCGTTCTTCCAATTCGACACATGAACTTACATCATTGCATTTAGTTGTGATGAAGTCACGTTATAAAGTGTGCAAAAGTTACAAATGGTTGAAACAGAGAAGCAGAAATGTTAAATATGGGCATGGTAAAAAGTTAAAATGTGACAGACGTCTCTCAAAAGGATGGTACAGATTTGGTGGTGGAGCTGGAACAAAAATGTCTGAATCCTGCGTTCCAAAAAATCGATGTGGTACGCATGCCCCTGGCTGGTTAAATGGAACTCATCCCACTGTGGATGAAGGAAATGTGACCAGAAAAGTCTGCTATCATTGGCGTAGTAAATGTTGCTTATGGTCAAATGCTATTAACGTCATAAACTGCGGTCCATATTTTGTTTACAATTTAATCCCAACTTTTAGTTGCCATTTAAGGTATTGTGGCGCAGACTAAAACACAACAATTGTGTGTGATATTTAGCTGTAGCTTGTTCTTATTCTTCCATAAAGCATCAATAATATGATATATGGATTTTTGTGAAACGTAATTATCTTTAGGATTTTCATATTTTGTATTTTGATTAACTGTACGACAGACCATTAAGCTTGTTTTATAACATTGTATTTTTGTGGAGCTACTAAAGTTGAAAGGTGGCAATCTATGAGGAACGAGGCGGTTAATGAAATAATGTATTTAGTATAGTCAAGCTATGTTAAGGAATGCGAAAGTTGATAGTTTAATGTATTTAGTTATGTTTTGCTACTAATGCATAATTTGAATGAGGTTCATGAACTAATGTATATGTTATAGTCATGCTATATTTTAATATAGGATAGAATTTGTCTCTCTGAAAGAAGTATCATATGGAAAACGCAGCTTTTTGAATTTAAAATTTGAATCTTTTTTAGCTTGTGCTTGATCTTTTTTGAATCAATGGTTGTAAGCAAATTTGCCAGTGCAAGACGTCACATGCATTCTATATATCTATAAAGTCAAAACTTCTCGCCGTGTTTGGAAGACACGAGCGTCTGCATTGGGAAAGGCTAATGTGTAGTAAACAAGAACTTCCACAGTTTCAGTTGTGTAATTGCTACAAAAACAATGCAAAGAATAATAACAAAATTGTCTAAGTTTTTATATTTTGGGCCGCGCAACGAGCCCTTCTGAAGCGATAGAGTGTTGCGAAACAAGACAGAGCGAAACGCGGCGCAGTCATAAAATATCACGAGTATATTATTTTGTTACATTTTTTAAAAAGCTTGCTCGTTCATGTCTGTCCGCAATTGAACTTGAAACTATACTATTACCTATACAATATAAACTCATCGCTAATTGACAAATGCGACAATTGAATAAACTACCAATACTAAATTTACTTTAATACTTTTGCTGGTCTTTCTATCTCTCAATACTGTAAACAATGTGCCTTTAATGAACTGAATTTCATGTTTGTAAATGTAGATCGTCTACGTTGGTATAGTCCTGAGAAGGAATATACCAGCCTGGACGATCGACATTTACAAACATGTAACGATACTCCCGGGTTCAAACCATTTACATTAAACTGAATTCCATTTTTTGAGAGCATTTGCCATGTTATGAATGACATGAAGTTATAAAATTCCTCAGAATAAATGCGTAACACAGTTATTAGTACAGTATAGACTCTATAGTGAATATACAGTAGAGCCACAGCATTGAACTTCTTCGTGCCACGCGTATCTAATTAGGCATGTGATTCGCATAAAGGCAGCCAGTCAATTGCCAATTTTGACCAATACGAATGGTGAATTGGCTAACGGTAGCCAGGTGCACACGAAGTGGACCTAATGTTAATTCACTGTAATGTGAATATGAGTACTGAAACAGTTGAGTAAAAAGTTATGTTGTAAGTTAAACTGGTTAAATAAATTCATCTGCCATGAAGTTCAAGAATTAATTAAATTTGGCTTTACATCCTACAATGAAATACCATCATCGTTTGCTTTGTGTACTTCGAAATTGCACTTGGTCACCAGTTAAAACTGATACGGCTAAACGATAGAACAATTTCTTTCTTCATTATCCTATATTTCGGGAAAAAGCATAAGCTTATCTTCTGACAATGTCAAAATATTTTGTTCAAACACAAGAGCAGATATTCTCCGAGCCACTCTCTCATCAAGTAAAATACAACAATGGCATTAAAATGCCTGGTTTAAGACGTGACAAAATCGCTTCGTCAAAATTGAATTCTTTATTGTGCATATTGACTGGTATATTTTAGTTTTTCAAACTAACAAAGAATCTATTTTAACAAAGTTTCATTTCATAGACACTTTAAAACGTCTGGCGTCCACGCGCCATATTATTATTCAATGAACAATTGAACCGTTTTGTATCCTCCTTGATGACTTGACATTCACGAGCGTACATCATTTATATCGTTTTTGTTTGTGATAGTCACAAATATTCTTTTATCCTCGTGATAAAGCTAGGATTCCCAAGGACATATAATAGTCTTGCTCTACCTGCGCTTATGCATGTATGGGTTTGTGCTGAACGCGGATGAGAACCGTCAAACCTTCTCATCTCACAGTCCAAGCTTTGTACTTTGCACGTTTTATCGTGTATACCCAGTAGTGTAGTTATCAGCCGTACGTTTTCTGCTCAGCAGGACTAAAAACTTCTGTTTAATTAATAATTACGGAACGTATAATAATATAGAATACACACCTAACTTCTTTTTCAACACTTCCTGCAATTAATGTACAACAATATTCAGTCGTTTTCGCCACTATTAAAAAACCTAATTTCAAAAAAATTTCCTTCCTCTTCTACCAGAGTGAAGGTGTCAGGTCGTTTCGTAATCTTGTCATTTCGTACCCATTGCTCTGGCTACTGATCGTTTTTGTACTTTAACGCAACATGACTGTTTTTATTGCCGTTAGTACTTAATATAGGACGGAAATGATAGATATACTCTATAGAAGAAGTATCATGTTTCTGTAACTGTACTTAAAATATCAAGTATACCCTAAACGTAAACAAGTCGACTGTTAAATTTCTCACACTTCATAACATTAAAATTTATCTTTTGAAGGTATGAAATGCTAGCTCTCAATCCTTAGCTTACTCCTGCCAGCAGATAAAATACATCCATCCATCGTCTTGCCTTTTTATAATCTAGTCCATTTAATCATCCATAATGCAAGTCTATCGATCTATTAATAAACGTGTTCTCGCAAATATGACGAGTACAAGAAAAAATATTGAATCAAATTCAAATTTTTACGAAGATTTGAATGTATAATGAGACGCCATGCGTAAAGTTCATCCTACAATGATGAGGGCTAACAACCAAAAGTACGAAATGACCAAGCTTAATTTTGAGAATCCCGCTTTGGTACAAAGCGCAAGAGCACGATTGAGGCGAGTGTAAAACGACAGTAAAGCAAAATAAGCAGAAAAGTGTTTCTTTGGGACAATAGCCTATGCGTGCTTGTTATTGGCGTTTTGAATAGCGTTGATATCTTGTGATTTAAAACAACAAGAGTCAGGAGCAGGTCAGACGCATTATCAACGCACGTGAAACAATGTATTGGTATTGTCCTTTTGATGTTGTATATCAGTAACCTAATGATATGATGAGAAAAATCTATGATGGTTCAATTAATGTATGAATATGTAGCAGCAGCTGATACCACGAGTAATTTGTTGTCATCTTCTCGTCGAGTGGCAAGCAAAATATATTGTACTTTTGAAGTAATCATGGTAAAACTTTGCAAAATATGTAAGACATAGCTGGTTTCACATGCAAACACAGGTAACAAATATAAATTTTTACAACTGAACTGATAACCTGTATGACAATGCCAATGAATTTACAGGTATAAAACTATAATACAGGGTGTTTCTTAAAATCTCTTTGAAATCAGGCAACGCTCAGAATGTTGCATGATTAAGCAGCATTTGGAATTCATTAAGGATCACCAGAGAACTATAAAGGCAACTACAGCTACGTTAGTAACCGTATATTGCAAATTTGAAGCGTGAAATTCTTTTCAATTGCGTTCAGGCTACCTAAGGGATAAATCATGCAAATTCTAAACGTCGGCAGACTTCCAAGAGAAACGGCTTCTTTGATGCATCCTGTTATTAACATCTAAAGAAGAACGTTCAATAAGTCTGTATTGTATTGCAAATAAGGGGATGGTTCAAGGCTCAATCTCTCTGTATTAGGTGTTACAAAGCCAGACAATTATTTTTCGCCAGCAACGCCACTGTTTCACGAGTCTCACGACCTCCATCTCCGACCTGCAATGTAATCAGTCATCGCACAAATCACCATGTACATTAAAATTGAGAACACAAGCGATACGTAAAGCATCTTTCCTCGAATGAATGCTAAAAAATACTAGAAAATTGTTGTAAAAAGAAACTATCTAAATGATATGACCAAAACCATTCAATGGGGAATATTGGAGAAAGAGGTTGACTGCTCCTCTTGCATACTGTTGCTGGCGCCAGTGTAGCTTATTAAGCCCAGCACATACTAAAGCAATCATTTTACCTTTTTTTACTAGTCGCTGTTAGCTAAGTAATTTAATTAGCTTATCTTCATATCAAAAGAGATTGTGTGTGTCAATGTCTGTTTGTTAACTGGTTGCACGAACCATAAGTGATAAAGACTATTTTCATAAATTTCAGGGGCCGGTTGCACGAAGGCCGAATAGCGCTGGATAGTAAATTTTTTTGAGCGTTCATAAAATGTCGCACAAGGAAAAAATTTACGATTTCAACAGTTCAATCACTAAAATAAAATATTGTTTCGAAGACTACAAATTTTTTTTATCGTAAGAAAAATATAATTAAACACCTTTTTTACAAGTTTGAAAATTTTTGCTATCTAACGGATGACACTATCAAGGCTTCGTGCAACCGGCCCCAGAGTTACAAATTTTGCAAAACTTCAAAAATATTTCTTATTCTGGTGTTTGGGATAAAATGTGTTGCCGAGGTGTGTGTTCTTTAGAATGATCTTCATCTAGGTATGCTTATACCTAGGATCGCGTAAAATCAGCTTGACTGCAGCCAGTTATCACACTAACCATATCAATTAGACTTTGAGAGACATGATTACTCAACAAAACTAACACTAGCGATAAGCATCCTATAAATTATTTGCACACATAGTATGCACTTTTAAATATACAGCACACCATTATAAATACTTTTTTGCTCTTACTGAAGAGCAAATGTAATAATATCATGTATAATTGCGGAACAGCAATTTAAACAAGAAATCAGTACTAAGGTATAAACAATACTGGAAGTTCGCACGCAACTTTGTACGTGGAGTTAATATCACAGCTGGCATTTTGTTGTGTTTGATATTCTAACGAATAGAAAATAGCTACTTCACACAAACTTTAGTTGCACATCGCAAAGGCTTTAAAATCCCTTTAAATCTTAGTAAAAGCCACTTTTCAACTCAAACAACTCCAAAGAAGTTAGATTAAATTCTCAAAATGTTGATACTTTTAGCTCATCTGTGAAATGCAGATCAAATGAAAACATACATCTATTGAAATATTTAAAAGCTATTTTTTGTTACTCTTTTAAAAATAGATTAATTAAGTTGTAAGTGAACACGTCCGGTCGTCTTTGTAGTACAATCTTGACAAAGCATTTCAATAGAGATACCTTCAGCAATATTCAATCGCATGATTCAATCAATTGATAAGAACAGTCAACGTGTCATCTTCATTCGAATAAGTTTTACACAAATTTCACTGAATGACGAGTACGTTTTCCACCACAATCATTAGTTCCAAAATATAATGTTGTCAGTCTTGTAAGAGAAACTGAAACATTTAGTTTCATAGCCAGTAAATTGTAGAACAGTCTGTCTTTCAACTTGAGAAT